TATTGCGACGCATCACGAGTTGGACTTGGTGCGGTATTGATGCATGATTGCGAGGTTATTGCATATGCTTCGCGACAGCTGAAGGTTCACGAGAAGAATTACCATGTTCATGATCTAGAGCTGACAGCGATTCTTCACGCGCTAAAGATTTGGAGGCACTATCATTACGGTGTGCCGTGTGAGGTATTCATGGATCATCGGAGTTTGCAGTACTTGTTCAAGTAGAAAGAGCTTAATTTGAGGCAGAGGAGACGGTTGGATCTATTGAAAGACTATGATATCACCATCTTGTATCATCCCGGGAAGGCCAATGTGGTGGCCGACGCTTTGAATAGGAAGTCAGCTACTATGGGCAGCCTTGCATACATTTTAGTCGCTAAGAGACCGCTTGCATTAGATATTTAGGCTTTGGCCAATCAGTTCGTGAGGTTGGATATTTCTGAGCCCAGTCGTGTTCTAGCTTGTACGGTCGCTCGATCTTCATTGTTTGAGCGCATCAGGGAGAGGCAGTATGATGACCCTCATTTGCTTGTCCTTAGGGACACAGTGCGGCACGGAGATGCCAAGCAGGTTACGGTTGGAGATGATGGAGTTTTGAGGATGCAGTGTCGGGTTTGTGTGCCTAATGTAGGTGGGCTTCGTGAGTTGATTCTAGAGGAGGCTCACAGTTCCCGATATTCTATTCATCCGGACGCCGCCAAAATGTATCAGGACTTGCAGCAACATTATTGGTGGAGGAGTATGAAGAAGGATATAGTTGCATATGTAGCTCGGTGTCTAAATTGTCAACAAGTAAAGTACGAGCAACAGAGGCCTGGTGGTTTGCTTCACAATATAGAGATTCCTGAGTGGAAGTGGGAGCGTATCACTCTGAATTTTGTTGTTGGACTCCCACGGACTCAGAAGAAGTTCGATGCAGTTTGGTTCATTGTGGACAGACTAACCAAGTCAATGCACTTCATTTCGGTCGCAGTTTCATATTCTTCAGAGCGGTTGGCAGAGATTTACATCCGTGAGATCGTCCGCCTTCATGGTGTGCCCGTGTTTATCATTTCGGATCGAGGTACGTATTTCACCTTGCATTTTTGGAGGCAGTGCAGCGTGAGTTGGGCACGCGGGTTGAGCTGAGAATAACATTTCATCCTCAAACGGACGGACGGACAGTTCGAACGTACTATTCAGATTTTAGAGGATATGCTCCACGCCTGTGTTATTGACTTCAGAGGTTCTTGGGATTAGTTCTTGCCGTTAGCGGAGTTTGCCTACAACAACAGCTACCAGTCGAGCATTCAGATGGCCCCCTATGAGGCATTATATGGTAGACGGTGTCGGTCGCCTGTTGGATGGTTTGAGTCGGGGGAGGCTCGGTTATTGGGTACAGATTTGGTACAGGATGCCTTGGATAAGGATAAGATCATTTAGGATAGACTTCGCGTAGCTGAGTCCAGGCAGAAGAGTTATGCCAACCGTAAGGTCCGTGATGTCGCATTCATGGTCGGAGAGTGAGTGTTGCTCCGTGTGTCACCCATGAGGGGTGTAACAAGGTTTGGAAAGAAGGGCAAGTTGAGCCCTAGGTACATCAGGCCTTTTGAGATCCTTGAGCGAGTGGGAGAGGTGGCCTATAGACTTGCGTTGCCACCAGGCTTATCAGCGGTACATCCAGTATTCCATGTGTCCATGCTTCGGAAGTATCATGGCGATGGATCTCAAGTGTTAGACTTCAGCACTGTCCAGCTGGACAAGGATTTGACCTACGAGGAGGAGCTGGTAGTCATTCTAGACCGGCAGGTTCGTCAATTGAATCGAAGAGTTATCCTTCAGTTCGAGTGCAGTGGAGAGGTCAGCCTGTTGAGGCAGCTACTTGGGAGTCCGAGTCCGATATGCGGAGTAGATATCCCTACCTTTTTCCCAGCTCAGGTACTTTTCTATGTCCGTTCGAGGACGAACGGTTGTTTTAGAGGTGGAGAATGTGATGACCTGATAGGTCATCTTATGATTTAAAACCAAATTCTGTGTTCTGAGGCCTTTAAAGCCTCATTTTATCCCTCATTGATTTGCGTACACAGTCCGCGCGTTTCCGGAAAGCTTTTATCTTGAAAGTTGGTGAAAATAATAAATTTTGCCTTTAAAACTTGATTTAGTTGACTTCGGTCAACATTTTGAGTAAACGGACGCGGACTCGTGTTTTGACATTCCTAGTGGATCCGTATCAAAATATGGGACCTGGGCGTATTCCCGGAATCGGATTCGGAGGTTCCTAGCCCGAGTTTTGAACTTTTGTTAAAAATTGTTAGTCTGAAAATTTAATAGTTTTTAAGAAATGTTAATGTTCGATCATGTTGGTATCGGGTCCGTATTTTGGTTCCGGAACCCGGTACAGGTTCAATATAATATTTAAGTCATGTCTGTGAAATTCGGTGAGAAACGGAGTTGGTTTGACGTGATTCGCACGTCCGGTTGAGAAAATAGAAATTTCAAAGTGTTCTTGAGAATCTCATTTGATTTGGTGCTAAATTTGTAGTTCTAGGTGTTATTTTGGCTATTTGATCACACGCGAGCAAGTTCATATGATGTATTAAGACTGGTGTGCATGTTTGGTTTGGAGCCTCGAGGGCTCGGGTGAGTTTCGGATAGGCTACAGAGTGAAAATAAGAATTTGAACACTGCTGGTTTTTGTTGTAGGCCTCAGACCTCGCAAATGCGAGGTTAATCATCTCAAATGCGAAGAGAAGCTGGGCCAGCTTATGTTCGCAATGCGACCATTCCTTCGCATTTGCGATGGGGGCAGGGGGGAGGCGACCTTCGCAATTGCGATCATCTGATCGCATTTGCAACCAGCTTAGTTCGCATTTGCGAACTTTTTTTCGCATTTGCGAAGAAGGCAGGACTGTGGGAATCATTGCAAATGCGATGGATTTCTCGCATTTGCGGGCTTCGCATCTGCGAAGCTCAGGTCGCATTTGCGACATCTGCAGCTGGTAAAACTTGACTTAGACGGGACTTTTGCTCATTTTTCAAAACTTTAACAACAAGAAACCCTCTAGGCGATTTTCCAATGACCACTTCTTCCCCAAATCATAGGTAAGTGATTCTTAACTCATTTATTTCAATCTTTCACTTCATTTTATAAGATTTCAACCTAGCATCTAAGATTTTCATGGTAGAATTGGGAATATTTGGGTAGAAACTAGGTATTTCGAATTTTGGGGATTTAGACCTCAAATTGAGGACGGATTACAATTATATATCCGGGCTCGGGGGTGAATGAGTAATCGGGTTTTGGTACGAATTTTGGGTTTGGACCAAGCGGGCCCGAGTGTTGACTTTTTTTAAAATGGCCTAAATTGAATTCCTTGCGATCGTGGGTAGTTCCTAAGGCTTAAATTGAATTGTTTGGTTTGTAATTTGCTAGATTCTATTGGTCCGGAGGCGTGTGTGAAGGGAAAAATGGTGATTGAGCTTTGAGTTTGGCCGTTGGAGCGAGGTAAGTGTCGTGGTTAACCTTAGCTCAGGGATTAGGTATTATTTGCCTACTTGAAACCTGTTTGGATGTTGAGCACAACATATAGATGAGGTGACGAGTACCTATGCATTGTTTTCGAGTCATAGCATGCTTATTCTTGTAAATGTTGTATTATTTGATCACATTGTTCATGTTTAGACTAGCTATTCGATGTGTTGAGCAAATTTCTTATCATGTTTACTGAATTTGGTATTGATTGAGTATTGACTCAAAGTTGAGGTTGGCATTGTGGAACTAAGTGTTGAAGTAAGATTTGTTCTTGATATTCCTATATCCCCGTTGTCATTGTTCATTGTTTTGGTGAGGGAGTGTTAAATCATGAAGGGTGATGTCGTGCAATGTTTTGTGAGTGAGCGATAAAGCACGAAGGGTGATGCAGTGCACGTTTCTATTATTTATTAAGGTGAGGTGGAGTGTTAAAGCACGAAGGGTGATGCCGTGCAATGTATTGTGAGTGAGTGATGAAGCACGAAGGGTGATGCCCTGCAGGTTTCTATTATTCTATCTGGTGAGGTTGAGAGTGAAAGCACAAAGGGTGATGCCGTGCACTTTCCTTTACTATGTTTATCTGTTTCTATCTGTTTAAGGAATACTAATTGTTCATGTTCTCAGCTTCGTTGTAATTCTTTGTTCTATAATCCCCTCAGCATGCCCCTTTCCAATACTTCTTGCCTTGTTTCTTTAGTTGTTATTATTAGTGTATATGTATTGATAAACTGCACAGGTTTGTTTGGGGGTGTCTTGTCCTAGCCTCGTCACTACTTCGCCGAGGTTAGACTCGACACTTACCAGTACATAGGGTCAGTTGTACTGATACTGCACTCTGCACTTTCAGTGCAGATTTCAGTACTGGACCGTGTTGACCCGAGTTGAGCTACTGACTTCAATCCTATAGAAGACCCAAGGTAGATACGGTGGCGTTCGAAGACCCTGGAGTCCCCTTCTAGTTATTTGAGTTTACTGTTTCTTTTAACTCGAAAACAATTGTACTTTCCTTCAGCCAGTTATTTGTAGTGACTCTTAGAAGTTCGTGAATTGTGACACCAGATTCTGGGTAGTTGTGTATTATTATTTAGGTTATCATGAAACTCCGCACTCCTTCAATCTGTTATGGTTTAATTGTTGTTATTTACTGAATTGTTTAAGAGTTATCGTATTAATCTCTAATTGTTGGCTTGCCTAGCAACTGAAAGGTTAGGCGCCATCACAGTCCCGTCGGTGGAAAAATCCAGGTCGTGACAGATGTAGTGAAGTTACCAGTACTATTAGGCATCCAAACTGGTATATCACAACAACTTTGGTTCCATATGCCAATAGATCGAATTTGTTCTGTAAGGAACTCTGGTAACTGCAGCTGATCCACGTCCCATTTATCACACTAATAACATCTCTAACCACCTGGACCCCACTGATGTATTGTCTATGAATGATTTGAGCCACAACACCCATTTCAGACCAATCGTCCCATCAAAAACTACTATTTAGCATTAATTTTCCAGAGTAGTTCATCTTCCACTTTATCTCTTATTTTGAGCAAGTTCTTCCATGCATTAGATTGAGAAGTATGAGCAGGAACAAATACAGGATGATTAGAACAATATTTGGCCATTAAGAAAATCGACCATAAGGATTTGCAGGTTCTGAACCTCCACCACCTCTTCATAGTCAGACTTTTGCTAACATCCAAAATACTTCTAAACCCTAACCCTCCCTCCTCCTTAGGATAACATAGATTGGACCATGAACTCCAGTGATATTTTTTCTTACCTTGATATGATCCCCAGAAAAACCTAGCCATATAAGTCTCAAGTTGCTTAAACACTGTTTTTGGAGGTTCCAATGCTGATAGCAGGTAAATGGGCTGTGATTGCAAAACATGTTTGATGAGTGTGGCTCTGTCACCAACAGACAAAAGTTTTCCCTGCCAACCAGTGGTCCTTTTCACAAGTTTAGAAACTATATCACTGAAATGCAAAATTCTCTTTCTTCCTACATATAATGGGCATCCCAGATATGTTATAGGGAAGTTAGCATGCCTGTAGCCAACCACCTCTTTAATCCTTTGAATGGTAATGTTGGATGCTTTAGGATCCACCAGAAAGCAGCTCTTTCCTATATTGATCAGTTGCCCGAAGCACTTCTCGTAATTCTGTAATTGATGCATGACTAGTTTAAATGCCCTCTTGCCATCAGAAGAGAATATTACTACATCATCTGCATATGCAAGATGAGTAGCCTGTGGACCACTTTGCACCATGCTAAAGCCCCTGAACTGATGAATATGAGGTAACTGATTAAGCATAATAGACAAAACCTCTGGCCCTAGAATAAAGAGAAAGGGAGACAAGAGGTCTCTTTGTTTCAAACCTCTAGTAGAATAAAAGAATCATGTCCTACCCCCATTAATAAGCACAGAGTACCACACATTTGAAATAGATCTCCAAACTCAATCAATCCAGTTCTCTGAAAATCTAAACTTCCTCAATGCATTCAACAAGAACTTCCAGTTAACACTATCATAGACCTTAGCCATATCCAGTTTAATGACAACGTTCCCTCCAAATTCTTCTTCCCAATACCATGGATAATCTACTGAGCTAATAAAATATTTTCTATAAGGGATCTTCCTTTTAGGAACTGCTTGTCAAAAATTATCTTTGGCAATATGGAGTTCAATCTAGAACTCATGATTTTGGAAATTATCTTGTTAGAGCAGTTACGGAGACTAACCGGTCTCATATCATTGATTGAAGGAGGATTCTAAGCCTTAGGTAGTAAAATAAGGCATGAGCTGGCAAAGAATCTGCTAAGTGTCGCCCCCTCTTTTCCTCGCGAAATCGGATTTATGACATTTGGTATGGGACAACTCGTTCCTTTTGGGAACTGGGTTTTGCATTTGAAGAGTCGCCACCTAATGATTTAAGGTGCATTAGGACACCAATTGGGTTCAATTCTAAGTTTTGTTTGAATAACCAGAGATAGGGTAAGGGCTTGAAATTATCCTAAGGTGAAGGTGTTAGGCACCCCCAGGATCAACTAGTGTGGTTCCCGGCCTGACAATTGATTGTGAATTTATGCAATTTTAGCAAATAGACAAGCATGGGCTCAAATATTAGGGGGGATTTAAACACATAAGGGACAGAACAATTGAAAGAATGTTTTAAAAGAAGTTTGCAAATAAAGGGAAAGGGGGTCCTAGGTTTATTAAAAATATGGATCACATCAATGCAATACCCGGTAATCACTCCTCGAAAGAGGGGCTACACGTGGTATTAGCGCACCGGTCATCATATCCATATCTACCCTTCCCACCCCGTTAAGGTATTAAAGCGCGGATTGGTCTCGATCGCTATTGCATGCTATTACTCGTACCATTCCTAACAGTCCCAGAGGAATTTAGGACTACTATTCCTAAAGGGGAGGGATATTAGGCTGATTTCGGTTTCAAAAGGTAAAAATCTAAGGTGACATACAAAACAAATAATACTGCTTGTTAAGGGAAACATGTAAACAAGTAAAGGCTCATGGATACCTCCTCAAACAAACACATAAATAGCATGACTTGCACATACATTTAAGGTCCGATTAAAGATACTAAAGACGAAGGGAGTTCAATTGTTGAAGCAGACCAGCTTAATATATAACTCAGATAAGAAGTCCAAGTCAAGCCTGCCTGCTGGTTGTAGCAATTTCAAAAAGCGGATTCAATTTCATTGCTATTACCCTAAGGCTTGCCTAAGTGTTTGGGTTAGCTTTTAGGAACATAGAGTCTACTTACTGATTTAGAAGTGTGGCAAAGCAGAACAACTTTTAAACGAATGGTTTGAGATCCTATATGCATGCTTGCTAGACCTCGTTAAATAAGGAAATTAGATTATTTAAAACTGATTCAGAATAAGCTAATTTTAAAATGGACTAGTTTCAGATTCTGCAGGCGATGGTATCTAATATTGCTGATTTTAAACCCTATGGACATGATATCTAACATTGAATGTGAATAGAAACGAACCAGATTTTTTTACTTACTTTGGGAATCCCTATAGGCATGATTTCTACGAAGGGGTACTGATCCGATTTTAACCATTTAGATCCTAATAACACGGTATCTAAAATGCAGAATTAAACATGCATAATCTAAAACAATTGATCATATAGACATGATTTCTATTGTGGCCATTTTTTTAGTTCCTATAGGCATGATTTCTATGAAGGGGTACTGATTTTTAATGATATCTGATTTTAACCATTTAGATCCTAATAACATGGTATCTAAAATGCAGAATTAAACATGCATAATCTAAAACAACAGATCCTATAGACATGATTTAAAACTCAAGCATGCATAATTCCCAACCCTTTTCACTAGCCAACCACAGTGTTTATTATAGAAATTATTACAGACCCAGTAATGAATTACATCAGAAAAATACAAAGAAAGGTTACAACCAGAGGAAGTCTTATTCTTGACTTCCTCTCTGAGTTATGAAATAAACCACCTCAAATGCCATTGATCCAAAGCCTTTCTCAGACTTGAATGTGTCAAAGTTCCCTAAGAGTCTCAAGAGGACCCCGGGCAGTGATCACACCCAAGTTACATAACCAGAATAGAGATGAGTGCAGTGTGGAAATGTCAGCCCTTATGTGTCCAAGTTCAGAAGGAGCTCATGGTTCCCAAGGCAAGGCTCACATAAAGGGGCCAGACCTTCAGTTCTAAGAAGATAGTGAAAGTGCAGGAACAAAGTTTTTTTTAAAAAAAAACTAAGGGAATAAAGGAGAGGGGAAAGGGTGATAGGGAGACAGCCATTAGCATTTCACAGAATTAATGACTCCATACAAAGGGGTCAGGGGTTGGGAATCCATTGCAAGGAGCCCATGTACTTAGGCATGGGCTAGCTTTGGGCATGCACAACAACGGGAAGTGCTGACATGCCTGTAAACCAATCAGAATACACAACATCTAGAGGAAACATGGAGGTTATGATCTTAGGGATCAGGTTTGGGTCATGCACAGCAATGTCCAATGCTGTCATGCCCCAAACCAACCACAAGTATTAAACACATTGGGGTAGGGGTTTAGGATCCACAAGTCATGATACATTAACAGAAAAAGGGGAAGTTACAGCATGCTTAATAATGGTACTGGGTTAAATACAAACAACAGACAAACAAAGATGCGAGAGACAGTAAATAAGCATGTTGTTGTTGGTGTAGAAGCTTAATTAGAACATACCAGTAAAATGCAGATGCAGAAAAAAAATAAGCATGTTTTCCACAGCCTAGCCTTGGCTTTCAGCCGGCTAGGTAAGGCAGCAATACAAGTAGTAACACGAAAAGAGAGAGATTTAGTGGAGTGTGTGACTGAACTCAAGTGTTTTATGCCTTGTTCGTTTTTTTTGAAAGAAAGAAGTATAGGGTATTTATAGCTTTCTGAAAACGAGTAAAAGAGAAGTAATAAGCTATAAACATGGAAACAATCACAATTCAGAATCAATTATACAAGTGATTGCCTTTAATTAAGGGATCGCTTGCTTAACGGGCAGTGACATGTTCAAAATAAGGAAAGAAATCAATTTGTGAGCAGGCTGATAGTTGCCATAAAAGAAGTAGTAGAACATTAAGTAAGCAATCGAGTCTATGTACAGAAATACACTAATTTTGGAAAGAATTCAGTAAGGCAAGATAGGAAAAAAAATCAATTAACCTTGACAGGCGAGTGAAATCAAAATTTCACAAAGGAAAAGTTTGAAATCAGTCACAAAATTGAAGGTCAATCAAAGAAGGAAACTCAGCACATAAATAAAGTGCACAAACGCTAGACATGCGAGGCCAAACTATTGGGAAGAAAAACAGCATGAAATAATAGCACAAAGTTAATAGGCAGCAAACATTCGAAGCATGATAGTCATGTAGGTCAGGTCACATTGAATCAGTAGCGAAGAAACATAGAATATCAAAGCATGTGAAGATCTCACAGTAGCAGGTGAAGGAAACCCCCTTTGAAAATTTAGGGTTTCGAGCATAATCGAGTTTTGGAGAAGATAGAAATCCAGAATCAGAAGAATCACACAAAGGAATAAGAGATTTTGAAATAAAGAACTTCAAACCGAGTCATGTACTTAAACGAACGATCTCAGACCCAAAGCCATAGGGTTTTCAACAATAGTAGAGTTTTAAAAGAGGATAAACAAGCGAATCAGACGAAACTCAAACAAACAAGCATTCGTCTACTAAATAGTCAAAAGAAATTAGCGCTTTTAACACGCAAACCCTGGTAGAAGAACGATATAAGCAAACATAGCAAAATATGTCCAGAAAATCAGAGAAAAGTTTTGAAATAACTTAACAAGAAAACCCTAATCGAAAAAGATGAAGAGTTTTGAAAGTAGAGTTCTTAAAGAAACTTCAAGAAAAATTCTTAGAAATTCAAAGCAAACATAGATCTGAAGCAGATCTGAAAGAAATCAAAAGAACCTTAGATATTAGGGTTTCAGAAGAACCCCAAATGATGAGAAAGGCCTTGCCATTGATCTAAGCAGGAGAGTCAAAAGTCTGACTCGAATAGCCATGGCTGGCCGGAGAAAGGTCAGAGACGACCGGAGAACAGTCATCGAGCAAAGACTGGACAATACCCCTTCAGGATCTGGTCATGAGACCACAGAAACGAACACGTAGAAACCCTTGGAGGATGATACAGGTCTCCGATGACCTTGGAAGGCCATGGATTAGGGCGGATTAGGGTGGCGGCGGCTAGGGTTTGATGGGGTTGTAGAGAGAATTTTGGGAGAGGAGGGGTTTCAAAGGCGGCGGATTATGAAGAATGAAAAAGGTTTGGGGGTCTTTGGGTTTAATTAGGAAAGGATTAATAGGAGCCGTTGATCTAAACGATCAACGACTGGGATTAAATGGGAGTCCGGGTGGGTCATTTAAATGGGTTGTGGGTTGGTTTGAATGGGAATAGGGTCAGGGTATTTGGGATTAAAATTAGGGTTCAATTTGGGCTATAATCGAAATGAAATGGGGCTAACATTAAAATAGCCAATTTTCCTATTTTGATTTGTAAAAAATAATAAAATAATTTCTGTAAATAAATTAAAGGTGCTTAATTGATTTATAGTACATAACTATCAAATTAAAAATACTGGACTCGATTTTTTATAGATATAAATGCAATTAAACCTAAAAGAGGCTATATTGCAACTATATGCAGTTTAGCTTTAAAAATACTAAATATATTTGTAAAAATATGCAAAAAAAAAATATCCTAGCCATATTTTAGTATAAATATGATAATCCAATAAATGAATCACCAAAAATGACAATTT